TATATATATATATATATAATGATTAAAGACTGAATGCTTTTTCCTACTATAAGAAATAAGAGTCTGTTCTTACCACTTATTCAATACTGGTCTAGAAGTTCTAGTTAGTGTGCTAAAGTAAAAGTTTAAAAGAAAGTATACATACAAAGAAACAGATCAGTATGTTACACCATTCGAAATGTATTACAGACCTAAATGTAGCTATAAACATCTAAAATAAAACATGAGAGGGCCAGGGATATAGCTCAGTGGCACAGCGCCTGCCTGGCAAGCACAAGGCCTTAAGGTTGATTCCTGGTACCAAAAATAAAAAATAAAATGGAAAAAAGTCTGTAATCTTTAACTAGGCAAATATAACACCAAAAGAAAATGTATACAAGAAAAAAACTGATCTATTAAATCTCATAAAAATTAGTAACTGCTCACAAAAGACATTGTAAAAAGAATGAAAACTCAAGTCACAGAATGTATTTGCTAAGCACATATCTGATAAGACTAATTTTTATATAGAACAAAGAACTATTAACTTCCACTGAGAAAGCAAGCAACCCAATAAAAAAATAGATCCAAGATTTGAAAAGACACTTCACCCAAGGAGATATATGAACTCTTACTACATACCTATGAGAATGACCAAAATTAGAAAGTTAACTATATCAAGTGATAGTAAGAGTGTTAAGTAACTGAGATTTACAACACTGCCACTAATAATGTAAAACTATGAACTGGAAAATGTGTAGGCAGTTTCCTGAAAAGTTAAACATATACCTACTACATGATCCAGCTGCTCCAATTTTAACCATTTACACAAGAGAAATAAAACTCTATGTCCAAAGAACCTCGTACATGAATTTTTAAAGCAGTCATATGAAATAGCTCTAAGATGGAATCAGATGTTAAGAGCTAACAATAAAAATGATAGCCAAAATAAAAAAGACATAAAATTAATTTATATAAAATATTAGGAAATGCAAATTATAATGTCAGGAACAGATATGTAGCTGCTTGAGGGAGGAAAAAGGCAGAGGAAGGAGATAAAGAACAAGTAAGGGATTAAACTTTGAGGGGTGCTACATATATCCATTATCTCAATGGTGTGATGGTTTCAAAGCATGTTCATATACCAAAGTTGATTCAGCTATACATTGTAGATATGTGTAGTTTTTAAAAGATCAATTATACCTATTAAAGACTTTTTTAAAAAGTATAATAGAGGGCTTGAAATGCTGGCTTTAAAAATGGCTATCATGTTAACCAAACAGAATGACTGCAATTTGATGTGGCAAGGAGTTGGCTTTAAAAGTACAATATTATGATTATTAATACTTTATAAATAGTATCTGAAGAAAAATCTTTGGATAAGAACTCTTGACAATATACAGACAGTAGTTAAGAATCATTAACCCAAAGAAAATTGTTAACCAATTAAAAATATGAATTAAATTCAGACTCCCAAAAATCATTAGACATTTTTAAAGTATGAGCCATGAGTTATATGTCAACCAATAAAGTCATATTTGAATGATTACAAAACATCTAGAATTTATTTAATGATTGTACAAATTTTCAGTCTTCTTCTCTAGTTCTCAAGTATTTTGTGCTACATGCTATTTCTGCACTAAAATGAACCATATGTAATAATATTTGCCTTATTTTTTTAGGGATTAATATCACAGCAGAGAAATTTTAACTTCAAAAATGATGCTGGCAGAAATGGGACAAGTTACTATACTTCTACAACTGCTAGTATAATTACATTTATTAAGAACTTTAGATGTATTTATTCAGAAAAATCTGTAGCCAAAGCAGGATACATTCAACTCCCTTTAAAACTGCATTCTCTTATTTAATAAAAAAAGAAATGATTTTTATGTTTGCAATATTTAAAATGGAAGATAAATTGAGGAATAATATTCTCATTCCATTGAAAACAAAGTCTGGTCAAAATCAAAATAAAAAGATTTTGTTCTCCTGATTAAGAATGCAATTTCTAATTTCAGTTGAATGATGTTTTGTACCTTATTGATGTTTGGCTCCTCCATCATAGAATTTTTGATGGCTTCACTGTTGTCCCCTAATGACTTCATCAAGAAAGAATAATCACATGACAAAGAGTAAAGATGAGATGTAACATGAAAAATACTGTGGGGTATTTAAAAAAATTATATTTTAACTGAATTGGCTAGAAAAGAATATGAAACTGAATTATTCTTCTTAAATTTCATATACCTTAAAGAAGTATTATAAGAGTGTATGGTTAAGGTGCAGGACAATTCAACCGCTCAGAATACATTAACCACCACTATAAATTTTATTCTACCACACACAAATTTTACTTATATTGAAATGCTGATGTTACAGCAAGATTGAGTCTCAAGTACTTTATATTTAAAAACTCAATCACTACTGGCAGAGTACTATCAATGAAAAATAAAATTGTTCTCATCTACACTACTGTGCCTTATTTCTATGACATATAACCGTTCAGGAAAACCTGAGAAATTTCTGTTCCTACTTTCTAAATTCTTTCATACTAATTTAGTCAAAAATAGTTAATAAATTGACTGGAGGCAAACATATTCTTCTTAGAAGGAGGATATTAAGAGGTAAAGAAAAAGTTGATTCAAAACTTTTAATTCTCAGAAAATGAAATAAAACAGAAAAAGGAACTGGCAACGAAGACCACAGCTGCCAAACCCCATATTTTTGATGGGAAGGCTCAGGCAGTCTATCTGCCAGGCATGGGTAAGGACTCAATTTTCAAATGAATACAAATAGGGAAGATGTTTTACTTTACACTATGCTATACAGAAAAAGAAGAGATCTGAGGGTATGCTAGGACTTTAAGGTTAGATAAAGAAACAGGACAGAAGTAGTAAAGTTTAATTTTCACACACAGAAAGGAATAAAGCAGCAGTCTGAAATTCTCCATCATCTTGCACCCAACTCCTTTTCAGCTGAACGATCACCATGACTTAACATAACCATCATTTTACACTAATAAGTAAAAGGTAATTTTGTGAGTACTGCAGTCAAGTTTCCAGTAAAGGTTAAATAATTTCATACCAACTCAATGAAGTTAAGATTCTAGCTGGGGATATAGCTCAGCAGCACAGCGCCTGGCTGGCAAGCTTGAGGTTGTAAGTTCAATTCCCGGTACAAAAAAAAAACAAAAAAAAAAAAAAAAAAAAAAAAAAAAAAAGACAAGGATTCTATTTAACTCCATCCAACTTATATTTGCTATATAAAATTTTCTTTCCATATCTCCTTATCAAAAAGTTTAAGAGTACCATGAGGAAAAATAAAAAAGCAAAATAGTAACAAAAAATGTCTCATAACTTCTAAGCAAATAGAAGAGCAAATAAGTCTACTGATCAAAAATTACAAAGCTACAGTGAAACAGTCATTTTGCAAATAAAAAGAATTCAGAGAAAATATTTAGCTTACTGATTACAAAGCTGTTAGTTTACCACTTATGTTCATGCTTTCAATTAAAATAACTGCAATAAAAGTAATAAAGAAATGTAAAATGTACAGATGCATTACTTATCTATGTTTATATATTGTTTTTTTGTGTTTTTTTTTTTTTTTTTCCTCCGGTACCGGGAACCGAACTCACGACCTTGCACTTGCCAGGCAGGCGCTTTTGCCGCTGAGCTAAATCCCCAGCCCCTATGTTTATACATTCTGCCTTGGTTATCATACCATGTCCCCTAACCCTTTCCAGTACATATCCTAAGCAGCAATACTCTTCTTTAGCACATTTATTCTTAATTTTGCTTATCCAAACGTTTTCTAGAAATGTTCTCATGGTAACTCAAACACTAGAAAAGACACACTTTACATAAGGTTTACAAATGAAACATTCACATTTGCTAGATTTCAGTGTAATACCAAGGTACCCAGGTCACAAAAATCTGAATATTATATATATATTTTTTGTTTGTTTGTTTTTGTTTTTGTTTTTTCCGGTACCGGCAATCGAACTCACGACCTTCCGCTTGCCAGGCAGGTGCTGTGCTGCTGAGCTAAATCCCCAGCCCCCCAAAATCTGAATATTATATATTCTGTTTCCTAGTGTGGTCAATTTAAATATATTTATAAAATCAAGGAAATGGGGGCTGGGGATTTAGCTCAGCGGCAAAAGCGCCTGCCTGGCAAGCGCAAGGTCGTGAGTTCGGTTCCCGGTACCGGAGAAAAACCAAAAAATAAAAAAAAAAAAGAAAATCAAGGAAATGATAAATAATAGTACATACAATTGTCTCTTACAAATTATTTAAGTGAGACAATGAGATATATGCAATTTTCCTTCTATTCAAGGTTCGATGTCACCCTGCTTTTTGCTTGCTTGTCTAATATGAAGTTGTACTATTATTTCTCCATCTGAAGTACCTTTTCTCCTCTCACTTTAAAATTTATTTTTTATTAACCCATGTTTGCAGTACATAATGACCATATTCATAGTGGGGAGTGGTACATGTACATATCTTAATTCTTTTTTCATTCTATTCCCCTTCTTTCAGACTAGTTCAGTGCTAATCAAAATGTGGTCCACAGACCAGCTTATGGTTTTGAACTCTTTGTTACTGGTTGAGAAGAGATAAAAAAAATCAACATATAATTACATCACTGTTTATTCACTTATTATTTTTTAGTAGAAAAACTCTCTTAATGAAGGAAGCAAAATGTTCATTTACATTCAGATGAAAGTTTTCCATACTAACAAACTGATACTTTCTTAATAGTACTGAATTAAATAATCCAAAACCCTTCCCCAAAACCTAAAACAAAACAAAAAAACATTTTTGTGATAACATCAAAGCATAATCATCAATAATAAAATCACACATTTAAAATGTTTTCAGTGTTCAAACCCAGTTTCAGTTATACTTCTTAGACAACTATAACACGAAAATCATAGGAAATTTCTACTTTGTCTTTAAACAAATCAAAACAGAGAGCAAGATACAGAATCCAAGAAAAATGTCCCAACTACCTCTAAATTAATCACTTTAAATTGATTTATGAAAAAAATTGTTACTCTTCGTTTGAATTACTTGTTCTAGTACTAATTGCATATGTTTATGATATAAACATCAATTTTCAAAAAAAATCTGTAAAATGCATGTCAAACAGCTCCAAGACAAAAGCTTTGGAAAAGAATAGTAGAGTTCTTAACATATACAAACCTCATTTAGACATCGTTTCTTTGTGAATATATTTCTGATGAAGGTTTCTTGAATTTCTTCCTGCTTCACCAAGTATTGCCAAAGCCTCTTTACAGACAATGCCAGATGATGCTTGGATCTACAGAGACAGTAAATTTAATTAAGTACTTTGGAGAGTTCTGATTAAATTGACCACAATTCCATGGTGCTGTTATGAATGTTTATTAAATTAACCAGAATCACACCATGTGATCTGGAAAGCAGCCAACAAGCATTTTCTTAAGCTCACATAGTAAACATTTTATGCTCTGTGGAGCATATGGTTTGTATCACAAAGCTCAACTCTGCCAAAGTACTGGGAAAGCAGTCATACTGTCTAAATTGAGCGTTCCTAATTTGAAATGTTCCAAAATCCTAAATATGAAAACCCTTAAGTGTTGATATGATACTAAAAAAGTTTTGGATTTGGAGTATACCAACCAGTATAGGGAGATTCAACCAGCAAAGTATGCAAATATTCCAAGAAATTCTGAAAACTGGAACATTCTGGTCCTAAGCATTTCAGATGAAGGATAGTAATCTTGTAATATCACTGTGATCCAATAAAAATATAATTATAAAAGCAGTAAGAGGTCTAGATTTGGAGGAAGATAGCCATAGTTGGCTGATTCCTAATCTAGGGACATGAGATCTAACAAAAATAGGCATATTTTCTAAGAGACAATTAGAGGTAGAGCTACTCAGTGTTTTTCATTTTGTTATTGATAGGCAACGAGTTAAGAGCTTCTAAAAGAACATAAAATAACCTTAATACTAAACCAGTAAGCAAACTGTTTGGTTAGGTAAACACTGTTTTGTACAAGACTTTCTAGATGAAGCAAGCACAGCACTGATTTACCACTTGGTTCAGGCTTTCTTCACGTGCAGTAAAATAGTGCCTGATGGCTACTTTGAATAACACTGCTCTGGAGCAGGTATTAATAAACTACAGAAGATAGGCCAAATCTAGCCTGCTTCATATTTAAAAAAATAAAACTTAATGGAGCATAGCAAGCCTCCATGTTTACGTACTGTCTTCATGTCTACGGCTGCTTTCACTCTACAGTGGTAGAGTTCAGGAGATGTAAAAGGACATCCAGAAAACCCCACAATATTTACTCCTTGGACCTTTGCACTACCATTGTAATCACACAAAGACATACACAAACTAACAGCAGAAAATTAAATGCAGGTCTTGGTTTTTTTTTTTCTGAACACTACTGACAACACCAATTCCTACTTAACATAGTATTCACAGGAAAACCTACTTGAAAGGCGTGTTTGTAGGCTCCAGCAAAGCTTTGTGGCGGAGAATTGCAGGACCTGCAGACAAACTTTCTTCAGAGGTATGACCTGCGATATAGTTCTGAGGTGGTCCACCATGGATTTCAAGTCGTCGAAGAAGAACTTGTTCCCAACACTGAAGAGTTTTTAGAACCGCGTGACAAAGAGGTGAACTAACTGGAAGCTCTAGAAGGGGAAGATATATTTGACTCCCATTTGTCTTCTGCAACAAAATGCTACATTTAATTATAAGAAAGTCTGAGAAAAGTTTTAACACACATTTTAACAGGGGAGATAGAGGCATGAAAATTCAGCAGGCTGAAAAAAAGGTTGCTCTCCTCAAGTATCTAATAGAATGATAAGAACATTTAAAGCTAGTTTTAGTGGAAAGAAACCTATTACAATAGGAAGTCTTTAAGCTTTTCCTCAACTATTCTGAGAAATATACTGAATAAAAACCAAAGCATTCATACCATTAGTTCATCTTAAGATATTTATTACCTGCAAGATCATGACCTGCAAAGGGATAGAAGGTTTTCAAATTGTTGAGCACCAACTGTACCATTGCCAATCGCATCAATGACCAACTGAAAACAAAACGAAAATGGGTCTGTCAAAGATTTACACAGGGACTGTATTTATGCATCACCTCTGACTCAACAATTCCACTATTAGGAGCCTATCCAGAAGCTATACCTCTACAAGAAAATATACACATGCAGTACCTCAGATCAGTATTTACAACAGCAGAAGAGTAAAATAAATCAAACTGTCTATCAGGAAAATATTGGGTAAATAACTCCATTCTGAAGTATGGAATTTTATAGTAACGATAAAAATAATGAATTAAAATCTCTAAGTATTACTATGGAGAGAACTCCAGCATGTAATAATACTTTAAAATTAAATTTTGAAATACTACATATGGGGTGCTATTCTCTGTGCAAAAATCAGGGGAGGAATTATATAGATGTATTTGTTCATTTTTGCAAAGAGAAGGACAAACTAGAAAATGAAAAAGTAGTTATCTAAAGATAGTATATAGGGAAGGAATTAAATGTAGAAGATAAAGACTTCTAATTTCAAATTTTTAAACAGCTTGACTTTAAAAAAAGTTATTTCAGCTACTTTGATTTCAAGTGCAAAAGATTATTTCTTACATCATTGGCTTTGAAACTATTTTTTTGGTGAAATACACACAAAATTGACCACAGTAACTCTTTTTAAGTGTGCAGTTCAACGACAGCAAGTAAATTCACACTATTGTGAAACTACCATCAGCACCCATCTCTAAGACTCTTTATCCTGCAAAACTGTAATGCTATCCTCATCCAACAGTAACTACCCAGTCTTGTTCACCTTTTGGCAACCACCAACTGTCTCTTAATTACCTTCCTGTGACAGGCTTATTTCACTGAGCATAATATTCTCAAGGTTTATCCACACTCTTGTCATGGGTCAGAACTTCCTTACTTTTTAAGGCTGAGTAGTTTTCCACTGTACGTACATACCATAGTTTGTGTATCAGTTCATCTGTCAACAGACACTTGGATACTTCTATCCCTTGGGTACTATGAATAATGCTATGAACATGAACATACGAAGATTGGTTTCAGCTCCTGCTTTTGTTTTGAGAAGTACCCAGAAGTGGAACTGCTGGCTCATTTGGTACTTCCATCTTTAATGTTTAGAGGAACCACTACACTGTCTTCCACAGTGGTGGTTTCCACAATTTTATATTCCCACCAAAAGAGCATAGAGGCTGATTTCTCCGCAACTCTGCCAATGTTGTTTTTGTGGTAGCCACTCTAATAAGTATGAGACTGCACCCCACTGTGGTTCTGATTTGAATTTCCGTAATGATTAGAGTATCTCGTCTGTGTCTATTGGTCATCTGGACATATTTTCTGGAGAAATGTTTATTTAAATCCTTTGGTCACGTTTAAATTGCATTTTTTTGTGGTTGGTGGTGAGTTACATGGTTTGACTTCTCAGTAATCTGTTTTATACAGTATTTTTAAAAAGTAAACCTAACTCAACAGGGAAAAAACCCAATACATAAGTAAAATTCTCATAATTTTTCAGTAAAGGATTATGTCACTGTTCTTAATACACCTCTTTGAAAATATACGTACTTTTAAATCACACCACTGATATACCATGTCATTAAAACATATACATCTTTCAGATGTAAACAATATATCAATGATGAAATAATAGTATCATTCAGGAATCTAAGGATAATGCACCATTGGAGGTAGGGGTGAGCATTTTGCACATCTACAAATTTTGTAATACATGAAAGTCTTTTTAAAGACAGTACTTATTGATATTTTACATCTCTAGTGTTCCAGTGAAAAGACATTAGATTTTCTAGATAAAATTGCAGAACTTCTCTTGGGGTACAAAGGCAAAGCATAATCTGAGAATAAGATGTGTGAGGAAATGCTACCTGAGAAATTATTAAGGAAAGGAATTTAACAAATTCAACTAAAGATATCTGACTTCTTATATGATTTCTTAAAAGAAGCTTAAAATAAAATATTGCACACCTATATGAATTTGAATTAGAATGCTCTTGGAGATGGAAATCTGAAGCTGAAACAATATCATCATCATCATCATCATCACCACCACTTTCCAGACTCTCCTCTGAGTCGTATTCTGCTCTACTTTGGGAAGGGGGTAAAAAAGGCTAAAAAAAAAAAAAAAAATGTAATTTATCATTAACATATCTGATTCAATACATTCAAATATATAGTCTAATAGTAACAAGCCATCTCATTCGTAAATATGTGATTATAAGAAAGTAACTAGTACTTGACAAACTATGCCTGACATCACTTCCACAATTTCCTTATTTATTCATCCATTTAACAAAAAATTCTCAAGTTTCTATTATGTGCCCAAAAGTGTATCTGATATAAGAAACTTTAACATGGATACAGTCATTGCCCTTAGGACTTACCTTTTAGTGGTAAAGGTAGGCAAAAAGCAGAAAACTAAATAAAAATTGTATTAAATGCCACAAAAATATTTTGAGATAGAGAACAGTAAGAACTGAGATAAGCTGATCATAGGATGCCTCTTGAAAAGTGGTGTTTGAGACCTAAAGGACAAAAGGGAACAGATCACATAACAAGAGAAGAAAGCATTATAGGTAGTAAAAATACGATGTAGAAAAATTCTAATTGAGAAGAGTCTGGAATTAAAAAAAGCAGTTTGACGAAAGTTTCCTAAGCAAGAGCATGTGTCTTAGAAATGGTTAAAAGAAAACAGCAAACAACAGCTCAGGCAGAATCCTATAGGCCATAGTAAGGACCAGAATGTGTTACCAATGATGAGTTTTAAGCGGAGGACAGCTACTGAAATTTATAATTTCATATATTACTATGGCCACTTTCTTATGAGGGAAAAAAAAAAAAAAAGACAAATAACAAGAGTACAAAAAGACACCAGAAACTAATGCCAGAATTGGCAGCATAGGTACAGGGGTTACTGATGGAACTGGAGAGAAATACCAGATTTAAGAACATTTTTAAGCAGAGCACTGATTTGCTAATAGGTTGATAAAGTGAGAAAAAGTAGAGAAAAACAATGATTCCTGGATTTCTGGCCTGAGCAGTTATAAGGTAGAAGATTCACTTGCTAAAATGGAAGGGCTAGGTGCTGAGTAAAGTAAATACCAAAAGCCTAGATCTCAAACAAGATCAAGATTCAAGGATCAACTAAAACAGGATGAGAAGAGCCTATGAAGGAACAAACAGCAAGTTTAAAGGAAAACAGTCAGAAGCAACTGGCATTAAGGGAACAGGAGATAAAAGAATTTCAAGGAGGGAGTGGTAAGTATTTTAAATATTGCTAACAAGTCAGACAAAATGATAATACAAAAGGGTTTTGTTATTTTGATATGGATCTTAACTGAATGTCTAAAAAGAGCAGTTTTAGTGGGGTAACGGGATTATATAAATGTATATGTACAAAAAGGAAATACTGTAAGGCGCTAGAAAGAAAATGTGCACATGGTTTTGAAAAGTTGAAATAAAATGTGAACAAGGAGGAGAGAAATGGCACAGTGACTAGGAAGAGTTTTAGGATCAAAGTAGAGGTTTGGAATAGGAGATACTGTAGTACACTCATGTCCTGAAGAAAAATAGCAAATAGAAAGGAAGAGAACTGAAAGTCCAGGAGGAAATAAAAAGGAAAGGACTCAGAAACAGAAATGGAGAAAATGGTCTCGATGGGAGGCAGTCTTCCTCCACAATAACAGGAGGAAAGAGTAAGACGTGAACAAATGTAGACTGGATTATAGTTTTATGTCAGCATGATGAAAGACTATTGTCTGATTCTATGTTTCTCAGTGACTTACAAGGTGAGGCACATTAAGCATGAGACAGAGAGCTGAGACTGTAGCTTCATGTTAGAATGCTTGACTAGTATGCACAAGAACCTGGGTTCAATCTTCAGTCTCCAGCTCCTCTCCCTCCAGAAAGTGAAGATATGATGGAATAGAAGACGTACGAAGTTTGAAAAGAAAAGTTGTAAAATCTTGGATCTAGGGAAGCCCAACAAGAAATATATCAGGGAGGGTAGAATTTCTAAAGCTCCTAAATCAGCTGATTAAGGAGCTTGGGAAGTCTTCTTGCCAAAAAGCGACAAGAAAACTTAACTAAGTTTTTAAAAACAGACTCTGGAAATTGACCAAATGTACACAACATAGAGAAGCACTTATTTAAGAAAATCTACTAGGTATGGATAAAACAGTGTGAATCTGGCATGTTGATCAGGAATGCTCTTATCTCTCAAGACCTATGGGCCTAATTTTACCAAAGCCAGCAGCAAGGATTAATATATTCAGGGGTAGCCTAACAAACAGGGATATCTATCTATCTATCTATCTATCTATATATCTATCTATATATTTATATTTGTGTGTGTGATACCAGGAATAGAACTCAGGACCTTGCGCTTGCCAGCCAGGTGCTATGCCACTGAGCTACACATCCCCAGCCCCAAAGAGGGATATATTCTGAGAATCATGTTATTAGGCAATTTTTCTGTTGTGCAAACATCACAGATTGTACCTAAGCAAATCTGGATAGACTAGCCTATTATACATGTAAACTACATAGCATATATTGTTGTCTATACAATTCCTCAGTGAAGGAACATCCTTACGAAGTGTAAGGACCATAGGTCTGTAATTCTAGCTCTCTACCAAAATTTTATGTCTATGAGCACTATCACATACCACAGAAATCTCAGTATCAAACACTTAGGGAAGGCTAAAGTCTCAACCAGCCGGAGCTGTGCTGTTGACTGAAGGAGGCAGACCAGCCAGAAATTTAAAAAGGAGATCCAGGAATAAGACAGGTAAATAAAACCTTGCTAACCAACAGTCTTATATCTAGCAAAATTATGCTTTAACAGTAAAGAGGAAATAAAGATACTGTATTCTCAAATAAAGTGCCTAATAAATATTGACTGAGCGAATGAATGACTCTGCAGAGACAATAAGGAACATAAATTCCCTTCAATTCCTGAAGCATCTAGGACAGTGGTACCAAACTGTGGCACTCTGTGCCACAATGGTTTGCTGGCTATCATTGAAAGTTCTAAAAGGTTTGCCATCACTGATCCAGGATATGAAAAAATAAGAGCCACAGCATAACAGGCCGAGAGGATGGTTTTTTCAGAGAATAGACAGATGCTATTCAATGGAAGGCAGTAAAAAGAGAATCTAGAAACTGATGATGTGAGGGATTTGGCTGAGAACACGAAAACAAGATACATAGATACAGATATATGGATACAGAGCTTGCTTTGCACAGTAGTGCAGGACTACAAAAATGAATATACCCGTAGAAGTCACACAAAACAATTCTAATAATCAGTGTTAAAAAGCCACCAATGTTGTCAACTTTAAAAATATTTATCAAACATGAAAAACTCTTGCTGTTGACAACAGTGTTCACCTTCTTCTAACTTTATAACTTAGAATACGAAGCCAGCATTTTTTCTATGGTTTAACAAACTCGTCCTGCTTCTTTCACTGCTTTTATCAGTGCTGAGCATTTTATTATTTGCAGTTTTAATGCTGTGAATCTATCATAATGTAAACTTTTTGCAAAGGAGACCATCTCTGGAGCATCTTCCTACTCTCCTCACAACTATTTTCTATATTAATGTTGATAAGTTTACCTTCACTAAATTTCACTGTTTATATACCTAGAATCTTTTAGTTGATACCAATGTCAACATTCCCACAGTTTGGTATTTTTTTCTAACTCCATCTATGTTTAATTTGAATTTCATTCTCAGTATTATTACTTCTTTTCAAAAACTTTCATTTTAGTTGACCAACTCCCTTTTGATTCTCTCACTTTATAAAATGTCACATGTATCATGGGAGATAAGAAAGCAAAACAGCTATATGCTGTGCTATGTAAACTGATTAACAGGTGCTAAGTGATCAATCACAGACAGACTTGAAAGAACTGACCTGACCAGCTGCTGATCATGAGGGGCATTTTATTTACATACTGGCCAGTGAAGAGCTACATCCCCAATTGTATTTTATGCAATTACTTACATTTAATACACTGTGGAAATCAAGTCTAAACCATTTGTTGAGGGAGTATGTTTATTTACCTAAAAATTGGTGCTAAAACTTGTGTCTATTAAAGTAACACAGGACACCACCTTTAGTGTTAAGACAAAATGACAAACACTGAGGATGTGGCTCAGCGTCTGCCTCGCATTTTCAGGTCCTAGGTTTAATCTCCAGCACTTCCCCCCAAAATGGGTATGAATGATAGATGACCAGGGCACTTTGATTTCTGGTGGCTGGGATTCCTTAACCACTATCAAGTACATTACCACTAAACATTTGTTTGTTTTTGTTTTTTTTCCCAAAACCGGGTATCCAACTCACGACGTTGCACTTGCCAGGCAGGTGCTGTGCCGCTGAGCTAAATCCCCAGCCCCACCACTAAACATTTAACTAAGTACTCTTTCTAATTTATTTATTCAAACCAATACAAAACAAAAACTTACTCAAAACAATACAAAACAAAACTCGGGCAAATAAAACTTTTCTAAACCAGAATGGAAAAATATTTGGAAGCACCACCAAGCACGCTCACTTCAAACACCTTCGTTTCCCTTTGATCATATAAATATTGATCTCAATAACACTGCTCTTACCTTAGCTACGAAATAGTCCCAGATACTGAGCTCAGGTGGGATGAACTTCTCTTTGACTGCCAGTGACTCCTGGCATACTGGTGGTGAAAAAGAGGTCAGTGGGACAGATTCTTTGCCAGATATTTTTGATGACCTAAAATGTTTGTTCTGTTTTTCTCCTCCTTCAACTAGTGAAGAAACTAAGAAGAAAATAAAGTATTATTAAAGTATATACTATTTTCATTAGACTTATTTCACTTGACTTTTTCTAAGAACTAGCATTAACTATAAATAAGTACTCACAGAAAACCAAGACAGGATTATGAAAGTGTACAGAAGAAAAGAAAATAGGGGAAGTGAGGAAAAAGTTACCTTGCATATCAAACTCTAGTTTTATTACAAATTGTCTATCATCTTCTGAATGTAGGTTTATTTACTGTACATGAAAGGTAAGAGAATAGAATGTCTGCATGTATTTCAGTCCACAATTTAGCTAAGAACATAACAGGAAATTTCCTACATCCTTCTACTTTATGGTATTTTTGGAGTTAGGGACTGAATCCAGGGCCTCACACATGCTAAGCACCAACTCTATCACTAAGCTATACCCTTAACCTTTTTGAAGGTTACTAGATCATGTATATCCTAAGAAGAATATATTGAAGAATATTATGGAATGTTAAGGTTAATGGCAACAACTCACTTTTGAGATTCTTCATTAATCACTTGGCCTTATATCCACAGATAAAACTATATTTTTCATTACAAAATATTTCAAAATTCAAGTACTCTAACTACTTAATTGGACTGATTTAATATTTTGCAGATGGCTTAGAGATGGAATTTTCTGGTCCATGAAATGAAAAAGAAAAAAGAGAAAATAGAATCTTTATTTTTGTACTTTTGGAACACTCTACAACTAGTATTCTTGTAAAGTTATTTTACTGTAGAGTACTAAAGACATTAAACATTTAAAAAATTTCATACAAATTTTTAACCAATGAAGTAGATACTCAGAGACAAAAATATTGTCTCTTAGAAAAAAGAAACAAATAGCATGACTTTCTTTTCAAGGAACTAAGAGAAATTAGTAATATAGATAAATGGATTAGCATGTGTATTAAAATATTTTTGGTATCTTCAATTACTTTGAAGATAACAATACAGTGTATTAACTAATGTTATTCTCTTATGAAATTTTATTTTTTCAAAAAATAAAAAAAAATTTAATCAATACTAAGTCCTAAAATGCAAATCACCAGTACAGTCAAGGATCTGGTGGATATACATGATCTAGTAGCCAGGCAAATGATTCAAATTAAGGCACATCAATATTCTCCTTCACTGATTCCAACAGAGCTTACTTACCTTTCAAAAGGGTACAAATATTTGTGCTATAATACAACTTTGTTTTACTACTTGTAATTCTTCAACTTGCAGATAAAGAATATGGATATACGGTCAAGCTGAGTTTAATATAATTTGGTAATTTCAGAAAACAGAAGAGATGAATAAAATACCAGTATTGTAAGAATACTAAGGAGTGATATAATTGTTAATCTTTTAAAAAGAACTATCAGGTTAAATGGATATATTTTTCTTTAATCCTATTAGCATTTGATAAACAATAATCAAATGTAGAGCATACCTACTGCATACATTAACATAAATTCTAAAACCAAAAGAGAACCTAGATGTACAGCTTATAAATTATAAGGGTCATGAGGAGACCTTTAAGTGGCCAAAGAAAAACTAAGGTATACATGGAGGAAAACCCAGACAGAATCATATCTGAACATAAATTTTTAAAATATATTTCTTCACTGCTTTAACCCAAAAGTAGGCTTCCCTGTCAAGATAATATATGGTACAAATACATCTTCTTTCCCTTAAGGATTTTCTCCTCACCCTCAGCACATCCTGTACTGTGGTTTTCTTAGAATTGTAAAAGTAATTCCCATAGGACTAAGAAAAAAACAGAGAATCAGTTATGAGGTTACATCTAAGAAATGGGAAGTACTAAGGACTAGGAAAAATACACTGCTTCCCTCCCATCCGAGAACTGTTTGAACACAGGGCCGCTCACATGTTAGGATAAGCTCTACCACTGCACTACATCTCTACCACTTTATTTTATTTTGGGACAGGGTTTTGCTAGGGTGCCCAGGCTGGACTCACTTCTGATCTTCCGTGAATGTACTGAAAATTTGAATGGAGTATATGCATATATGGAGTATATGCATATGTAACATATTATTCAGCTCTAAAAAGGAAGAAAATTTTATTACATATTATAACATGGACAGACCTTGAGGTTACTGTCTTATATTTGTTACCTCACATATATATATTATTGTGACTAAAATTATAACATAAGGGGCTTAAGTCAACATTTATTTTTTTGAGTTTGTCATTCTGAATCAGACAAAATGAAATGACTATTCTGGCATAGATTTAAACATCATTTATTTACAAACTGTACTTAATCAGAAGAACCACCTAATTCTCTACTTCTTAATCTAAGACACACTTTATCCAGAAGCTCCTTGTGAATAAGCCAGAGAGTGCACGTCACCTCATGAGCAAATCATCCTGGATCTTCAAATTTAGTCTTAAAATGTAGGGGGAGACAAGGAAGTAAATTATTTAACCAATGGTTTAAAAACATTTTATGTTGAAAAAAAAATTATGGAGAAGAGTTTTGTAAGTTTAAGATAAAACAGATTTCAAATCTATTTCTTGATTTCAGCAAGACAATTCAGTTTAAGTCCTCGTAAGCATGTATTCATTCTCCTTTATCATCAGGGTACTTCAGATAAAAAGATTAAGAAGTACAAGTATGTGTGAGCATAAATTAAATATAAAACATAACTGTATCAGTAAACTTCAGACTCCAAAAAAGGAGAGGACTAAAGAAGCAGTAAATGAAAGGTATTTTTTAATCTTTAAATAATAACATTGTAAAGTGTGAGGAATGATAACAATACAGATTTTAGAAAGATTATTTGACTCAGGTGATTCCTTGTACATGCTCTGTAAATATCCTTAAAAATAAATTAATCAACATGTTCAAAGAGAAGTGATTTGTCTACAAATCATAGAGTAACACAGATTCCTACTACAGTAGGTATGCGAAATGATTTTTTTAATATGGAAAGAAAATACAAGTTCTGTTTAGACTTATTTTTTAATAAGTAGGAGAAAGGGAGAGGAGAAGGAAAGAGTGGAGCGGGGAAAAAGCAAAGGAAAGGAGAAAAGGTGGGAGAAATGAGAAAGTAGACAAAGGGGCAGGGAGAGGAAAGAAGCTGATGAGGTAGGGAAAGTGGCTGGAAGAAATACTTGGTCCATGTGGAACACTTGCACTATACATAACTATACATATATTGGAAATTAACTCAAGCATATTTTCAAGACAAGATTATCGCATTAACAGGCTACTGATCAATGCCCAGAAGTATTATATGCTTTTAAATCCTGGCAAATGCCACGGTAAGGTTCTGTCCAGAAGACTTCAAAAATCAAACTCAAAGAATATATAGAAAAAAAGCCCAAACATACTGAAAATTTGAACAAAGCAGATGCATACAGTAGAGTATTATTCAGCCATAAATAGAAAAGAAATTCTGCCACATGCTATAACATGAACCAACCTTGAGGACATTATTCTAAGTAAAATACACTGGTCACAAAAAGACAAATGATGTATAATTATAATAAAGTGAGTCATCTAAAGTAATCAAATCCTCAGCAACAGAAACTAGAAAGGTAGTTAAAGGGGTTGTGGGAAAGGGAAAAATGGCAGTTGTTTAACAGGCATAGTTTCAGATTTGCAAGATTAAACTATTCTGGAGATGTTCACTACATTAATGAAACATACACTGAAAAGGTGTTTACATGATAAAATTATATTACGTGGTTTTCTTAATTATAACTAAAAAATCAGAATGGAGGAGATATATGACTTACAATCTGGGGCTGGGAGTGCAGCTCTCTGGTAGTGTGCTTGCTCAGCAAGTACAGACTTGAGTCTGAATACCAGCACAATGCATGCATATGCACATGTACACCAGAGCTAAGGAAATGTATTTAAGTCACTCGGCTGTAGGATGAGACTGTCCAAAATGTTATAAACAAGGCTGATTAATCTCATTAAGATACATAGAACACTGAATGAAGGAGTCTAGGTTAAACAGCTAAGATGCTTCTTGTAAAGTTGGGTTTCTTGCTTTGTCAGCAAGCTTTAGGAGTAAAATAAAATAATTATCTATAACATTCACAAACATAAACATTATGTACATTTCTTGGAGGGTTTCTTTCATGTTGTATGCTTTTCCTGCTTTTATTATAGGAATTTTCCTTCCCTACACATTTAAAAAAATGAACAGAATTCATTTTAAACTTTAAATTAAAATTTATATATAGGAGCACACTAACAAAAAATGTATTCCCTTCTCCAGGAAAAATTAGTTATTTTTAGGTTCAGCAGACTTTTAAAAGTTCTTTACAGTAAATCACCAGTTAAAAGTATTTGGCATGTTCAATTATAGTTTAAAAAGCTGATTTTGTTTTTACATTTTAAATACGTTTAAATCTTACCTTTACTGGTCAAGAAATTTTGCTGATTTACATATTTGCTAAAGGAATGATGGTAACAACCTGGGATAATCACTAAATACCCAATGCAGAATTTTAGTACAAATTTTACAGGACAAAATATCTGTATTTTCCGATGCTAAAAATACAAAGGGTGATTTGAAAGAAATAGTGAATGTTTAAACTTAAAAAAAAAAAAACTTATTACAATAAAAGGTGTATTGCCAAGAATAAGGTAAGTTTGTTCAAAGTAAGAGAGAGTATTCTGGAGATTAAAGGTAATGGGTTTTAGTCTAACAAATTTTTTAACTTAAACACTCTCTGTATTTATTATTTCCCCTTTGATCAAGCTTTTACAACAATTTGTGTTACACAAAAACATTACAGTGTGTCCTTGTCCACTTTATTCATGGGATCTGGCATCATGTGATTTTAAACTCAAATGATCATGAAAGGTAAACATTCCGAATGAATTGGGGACACTAAGGTAGCCAGGACAGCACAACTAAAGACACTCACAAAAGGGGATTGCCAGAACCGCTTTGGCAAGTGGCAAAAACAATGGAATAAGAGTGCTGCATCAAGGGGGAGTATTCTGATGGGGATTAATGGCAAGGTGTCTTTTAGTATAATAAATTTTTAAAAATTTAAACATTCACTTGATTTTTGATCCCACCTTCTTTGTCTTTAAAATATCTATCTTTAGCAGTCTCATAGTAAAAAAAAATTATGACATGTTTACCACAAATAAAATATTCATTTTATATTTTATCCCCCAATTTGGACAAATTCATCAAGATAAAGATAGAAAATTGTTTTTATAATTGCAAATTTTCTCACAAAAATTATTTTTATAATTGCAAATTTTCTCACAAAGTACAGTAAAAAATCTTATACAAAAGATTTTATGCTTTACAATATGCCATATGAAGCAAAAAAATGGATTTCTAACTGTTAGCAAACAAAAATAATTTCTGAAAACTGCTACTGCTTAGTCAAATGTCTACTTTAAAAATTAACCATAATAACAAAACTCTGTAAAAACATAAAAAAACCATAAAAACAGAACTCTATGAATGTACACCTGTACTACAGTTTAGTGAGTAGAAAAATCTAATGCTTCATTAATATGTGATGTAAAATTCACAGAGAAAATTAAATGTGACTGAAAAGTAAATTACTGTTATATGTACATTAGCATTTTTAAGAATTTCTACCAAACTATAGTGAAAAATCTAGTGAAAAAGCATCTATTCTTTTTTAATAAAGGTTAAATTGTAAACATGTTAATAAAAGAATTAATACATTAGGTAAGTAACAGATGTATACAGAAAAATATAATTTAGTTTATGAGAGTATTGCTATAAAGAAAATTAAGACTATACAAGAACAGGGGCTGGGGATTTAGCTCAGTGGCAAAGCACCTGCCTGGCAAGTGCAAGGTTTTAAGTTCAGTTCCTGATACCAGAGGGGGGGAAAAAAAAAAAAAAAAAAAAGACTATACAAGAACAACAAATGTTAACTTTCAAATTCTTTTCAGTCCCAAGTTTTTGAAAACACTTTTGGGATTAGATGTTTTAGGGTTCTAAACAAATATTTCATCTTAAATATATAATATTTTGCTATTGATTAGGATGTCAGAAAAATGAAATATTCTACACTGTCAGCTTTTATCTGGCTCAATTTTAAAGCTAAAAATTAAAAACTATACGTTTACTTGGACTGAATTCAGTTCAACTTTTCTAAAATACATAATTTCATCCTCTAGGCTGACAATCGAGTATTATTTAATGCAATCAGATTCCTGGGATACTGTGATAATATTTCACCACAACCCACACATTTAAAGCTCCTTAACTGCAACCTAAAATTTACCATGCAGCTGTGTTACGGTGATGTTCATGCACAAAGTAATAATGCCTTCAAAAATTGAGATCTCAGAATTTCAAGTTGAAAATCACCCTTATCTTGGTTGAGTTTTGGTCATCAAATTCTCTGTCCAGTTTCCAGTGGACCTGCTTCACTAGTCACTGACTCCTTTCCCTGCCCGCTCTTCCCTCTTTCCCTGCGTCTCCTTCTCTAATCCGTGCTCCCTTCCAAACTAGATCAGCTTTGGCACTAGCAAGCCTTTGGCTTCATCATTTAGTGAGCATACGTTTGTTTTGGTTAGCAAACCGAAATCATATCGTTCAAATTTTCTGTAATTGCTCCTACAGCTAGCTACTCGCATGACTGGTTTTACTCAGAATAGGTTCAAGGGTTCTTAAAGACAGATGAGCACCATACAATCTGAATATGACTACATCAGCCCTGCTACGAAGTAAACATGTTTTAAATATTCTGTGTTCTTTGGTTATCATGTCCCATATTCAAGAAGTTAAATACATACGAACAGACAATTTTTGGTCACTTGTATCACTGCTAATTTAGGTAATAATATTTATGTGTGACATTTCTGCCCCAAAACAACCAATAAATCTGGTTACACAAGAACCGACCAGGGATTTAAGGTTTTTGATATAGCTGTGCTCAGAAAAAGTGGCTGGAACTGACACCTGACGGCTGTTTAACAAGTATGCATTTTTCATTTTTTACACATATGTGGACATTTCCTTAGCAAGAGTCTGTCACTTTCTAACATTATATATTAACAAGTTTAATGTTAAATGACTCTTCTCAGAACATATTAAAAGGAGCTCAAATTAATTCCATTATTTAATATTAAACACAACAGACCTAAAAATCTTACTACCTTTGGATTTTGAAATCTTTTTGAATTCTGATATGAGGTCCAAGGCAAATTTCATTGGCAGTTTCTTTTTTTTTTTTAAATGATAAAAAAACTAAAATACAGGAAATAATTTTTAAAAACCAGAAAAAGATGTGGAAATTAAAATATTTAAGATTTTAATGAACAAAGGCAAATTTGGTAAGATAAACGTGTATTTGAAATTTATTCATAAGGAAGAAAGGCAGAAAGAAAGAAAGTCTGACTTAGCACAAAGGACATGGGCCAGAATAGTAAGCAAGTGTGCTAGGCAGATACAGCAACTGTCAGGTAAGGGAGTATGAGGTTCATGTTAGTTTTACACATCTTTAAGAGCTTAGAGGAACCAAAATTGAATTCGCCCCTAAGCTCCACGGAAGTTAGCGGCCATGGCAAGGAAGATCACAAATTAGTCCTCTGCAACTACTTGTCCAACTGCAACAGTACTAATTTTGGTTGGATCAAGTACTTATAAAACACTCAATGTGACATTCATGCCATACCTCAAAACAATAATTTTAGTTCTTAAAAACTGAAATTCCTTTAACAGGAAAGGCAACTATTTTATTCCAAATGAAGCGATGATAAGTTGTTTCAATCTGTAAAGCAGGGGTTCTTAAAAGTATGACTTAGTTGTGTAAACAACATCTCACTGCCACACAGGTGTACAAACCTGTTCATGTACTGCCTATAGCTGGTTTTATACTATAAAGGTAGAACTGTATGCAACTGAAGTCTCTTCAGAAAAAGTTGGTTGACTTTTGCTCAAAATTGTTCATTGCATTTGCTTTATTTTAAGTACGAAACATGATGGACTAACTGCCTGTTTTTTCCTTGGTGGGAGAAAGGAAGGAAGCTGGATCAGAGGATGAGAATGTTAGGTAACAGAAAAAACAATTTCAATTAAGAGGATGAAGTAGTAACTCAGCCACCAGGATTTTTTGCTGTATGATCACGTGGGACTGTATTTTCTAAGAAACTGCTTCTGGGAAACAACACATGCCAACAATGATATCAGTATTTTTAAAAATATTTTAACTAGATAACAACTTTTCTACTTTTCTTGTAATTCATTCTAAAAGTCATGATGTAGACTTACGCAATAATTTTATCCCTAAATGAGGAAGCCAAATTTAAGCTTTTACCTTTACATGCCCTGCCAACTATATGACCTTCCGTATACAAATATCCAAGTGCCCCACACACAGATGTATGTATATGTGTATGATGAATGTAGACAGTATAGGGTGAATTAAAATTCATAAAGAATTAACTTGCTGGACTTCTCTCTCAAAGGTATTCAAAGGGCTTCATTTTTGTAAAGGATTTAAACATTTGTTATTTATTCAATGTCAGTATACAATGAAACAGGCTTTCTGGTACTATATATTAATTCCTAAATTTTCTAACTATAATTTTCAAAACTGAAAAAACAAAATTATCACATATGGATTAATAAATAAAACAAAATGGCAGAAAGCATCATGATTCTTTTCAAGTCAAGAAAATCTGCTATTTCAATCTTTAAATAAACATAGTATATTTTAAAGTTAGAAATGAAAAGGGATACAATTTTTTAAAGTATTTGTTTTTCATGGTAACAAACACTTAGAAATCCAAAAATCCCAATGGCCAGAATCATAATATGCAAATCATAAAGCAGCCTCATTTGAAATGCTTTTTTTAGTCATTTCAAGTCATAGTCTGATTTCCTATGATTAAGCATGAACAATGTTTTATTTTTATACACTTAAAAATGTTTTAATCTGAGGGTTAGAAAATATCCAAAATGGAGCATTCAAAAGTAGAAAAAAAAAAAAACAACCAGAAAGTTTTTAAAAATAATAATCATTTAAATCAGCAATATGACTTGATAAAAGGAAATTCTCAATTTTCCATAAATGCCAAACAAAATAAAACTGTCCCATGTATAATGACCCCTCCCAAACAACACAAAGCAAGCTGAGCTGTAAAAGTCTATTTCTAAAGCTAGTATCTTGCCTGCAAGACTGGGAGGGCTATAAGAACTGATGGCTGAAAGAGCTTTGGAAAAGCCCACACATTCCATGGAGAATACCACTACCTGGTGGGGGCTAGGTATAGCAAAGTGCCTTCCTGTCAAAGAAAGAAGAGAGAATCTGTATTTGGGATAGAACAAAACCAATGTTAAAGTGCATTTTAAAACAAATGAAAAGTTCAATAGTAAAATATTTAATAAAACTGCACTAGATAGTTCTAATCACTGTTACAGGAATACCTTAAATATTGAAAACTGTACCAGAAACTTTAGTATTTCATTTTCTCTATAAAATTATTCATGCTTTAAGAAAAGGTCTTTAACAAGAGCTTTCTCTGAATAAATTAAAATTTAATTACATTTGATAAAGTTGCCACTCATATGAATAAACAGAATAAATTAAGCTTCTGCCTAAAAGTAAGAAACAAAAATTTAAAACTTACCACGTAAAGTTTTTGAATGTGTCTGTTCTTTGCTGGGAATATGTGCACCTCCACCAAATACAGCAGACCACATTTTTTCATTTAAAGGATGGGCCACAATCCGAAACAGCTCATTACTAGAATGCGTTGCCAGGCCATGGATGAAGAGACTAAGGTACACTGCTGTGAGAATCTCACAAAGCAAGACTGTAAGTCCTGACTGGGCTTCCTCACCAGAAGAATTCAAAAGTCTAATCAGACAAGTTATTCCTAAAAACAAACCACAAACATAGCTGCCCATTAATAATAATTTTATTAAATTAAAAATCAACTTAGTTTGCTTTCCATTACTGTTATAAACACCTGAGACCATCAACTTATAAAGAGAAAAGGTTCATTTGGGTTAACAGTTGTGGAGGTTTCAGTCCATGGTCAGCTGGCCCTACTGCATGTGAGACAGTATATTCCATGGCAGAGAAGGCTGCTCACCTCATGGCCAGAAAGTGAGAAGAGCTAGAAGAGATCCTGGATCCCACAATCCCCTTGGGAGCATGCCCCAGTGACCTAAAGAACTCCCATAGGTCCTGCCTTTTAAAGTTTCTACCACATCCCAGTAGCACCAAGCTAGGTACCACAGGCATACGTGGGACATTCAAGATACAAACTGGTTAGTAGATGAAATGAGCCTAAGAGGTCATGACAAGACATTTCTCTCTTTTTAAAAAGTGCATGTTGGCTGTACAGAGTGGAGGGTTTCACTGTTACATGTTTATGCATGCATATGACATCTTTAATCATTTCTACCCCCTATTATGTTCCTTGTCCATCCCCTTCCCTTATTTTCTTCTTCTCTAATAGTCTCCCTTGACACATATTTCTTTTTTTTTTTTCCGGTACCAGGAATCAAACTCACGACCTCGCGCTTGCCAGGCAGGCGCTGTGCCGCTGAGCTAAATCCCCAGCCCCTGACACATACATCTTGATTGAATCCTAATTGGGATAAAAGAGAAATTTGAGCATTAGGCGAATAAAAGATACTGTTAATTACTGATTTGAGTATAATAAATTTAGTAATAAGCTTAATAATTTTAAGAATACAATTATAAATTCCATTCACTCTATGTCTACATACATAAACATTATTAAAATTTTGCCATATTTGCTTTAATAATGGTTAAATCTGCAGAATGCATGATGGATATAAAGGAAATAATTGTACTATCCTTTCTAACTCCATGCTTGAAATTTCTGTTTTCTGTCTTTTTGGATTTTGTTTTGTTTTGTTTTTTGACACAGGGTCTCACTATGTAGTTGACTGGCTTTGAACTCACTATTTAGCCTAGGCTGGCCTCAAACTCACAGTGATCCTCCTGTTTCAGCCTCCTGAGGGCGGGGATTACACATGTGCACCACTACACCTGGCCTTGTGTTTGAAATTTTTAATGAAATAGTGTAATGCTACAAATGGTACCTCTTGATTTTTTATTGTGATGAAATATAAAATTCACTGTTTCAACAATTTTTAAGAGTTCATTAGTGTTATATCCTTAGTATTCTTGTGTATCTCACTGTTCATAATCAAGTTTATTAGGTATAATTTACATATAATAAAATGCACACATTTTAAAAATTTATCTAGTCTAATTTTTGAAGTTTTGAAAAAAGCATCATGATTTAATGTTTTCTTCCAAGTTTCATAACTAGTAATGGTTTCTTACATTTACAAATGTTGAGCCATCAATTTAGATAAACAATGAAAATATGCAATCTGACTCAAATTTCAATGGCATAATTTTTTATTGTAAGAGCAAAATTATTTTAAACATAATGTAGCAAAATATTTAAATTATTTTAGTATAATGATCAAGGAAATAGTTTAAGTAACTGTAGAACTTATAATGAGTGGTGAATATTGAACTGCTATCAATTCTAGCAGTATTAATGATTATCATATGGCAAAACCAAACCACATCTGACTTTACTCATATAAGACTTTCAAAAGACTAAGAAAAAACTCATACATATATAAATTATTTATACCTGGCCATTGAGCTGGTGATGTATTGGGAGTTACTGCTTCATCTAAACTCCCTGTTCTCAAAGAATGCCGATGGGAAAGCAGTACTGTTTCATACACCATTCCAGTAAACTGATTTGTTTGAAATGCACTAATAACAGAAAATAATATGTAAATCAGTAATAAATTTCACACATAATATTTCCAAGTTTTAGGTCTAATTTTTCAGGATATCTTTAATACAAATTTTTATTAATTATACTATGTTATATCTAGGGATTTACTCTACAGTTTAATGCTGTATTAAAGTACAGGGCTGAGGATGTTGCTCAACAGCAGAATGATTGCCCAGTGTGTGTGAAGTCCTGGGTTGGATGACAGCACCAAACACACACACATACACACACAAATCCTAAAGCAAAGTGTAAATACACACATCTAAAGTGTAAATATATATATTTTTTAAATATGGGTTTTAAGTATATTTATTTAATGAAAGACACAGTAGAGGTACAAGTGGAAAAACTAAATCACTACATACAAGTAGCAAGTTCATTCGATTGACAACTGAATTTAGATTCAATTACATTTAATTGCTAGCATAACCCTACAGGAGGCATTGAACCAGGTACTCAGCACGTAAGAAAAACAGTTTCTGTCTCTATGAAATTGATACTCTGGTTGGTGAATGAGACAAAAAAAACTCATCATATTTTTCTTGAAGTGGAACTATGAATATGGTACTATGAAAGCAAAAGAAAAGAGGATGTCACGAACTTGGGAATTGAGCATAAGATTCTCCAGCTACATGAAACTTGGTCTTAAGACTACTTAAACAGATAAAAGAACAAAATAACTTACAGCTTTACATAAACCATGAAATAATTCTGAGTTTGTGAAAACATCAGAATCAGATATTCCCGTATCATACAGTAAATAAATTGATATAATTTTTAAACAAAGGAAGATATTGGGTGAAAACTATTCTGACTGGCGAATCTCATTGGTCACAATATTTTCATGTATTTGCATATAGTTCTCTGGCTTTACTTTCCGGGTTCACAATGGCAGAGTGACAACAAAAACCTGCCCTCCACTCCTTCCTGTATATGAAACCTATGGGAATGAAATGAAAATAAAAATATGCTGATGAAAATAAAGCCATTATTCAGTTAAGAAGAAAAGTGAAATTTTAAGAGGATGAGAGTAAAAAAATGAAACTGAAACACCTCTAGGAATATATAACCAGAATAAGTGGAGCTACTTAGGGAGAATTCATATACATAAGATAAAGACAACTGAGAACTAACACCAAGCAAGGCCTGCACTACATAAGAGATAACAAACTCACCAAAAGATTTTCACCTGAAGAGAATGACTTATCAGAACATTAAGAAAAATATGTATACTCAAAGTATAAAAAATTACAATACTCAAAGCAATTTTTAACAAAAGATTGAGAAAAACACTTCTATGAAAGAATCACGAGTTCTTGATTTGTCCTCTGCCAAAGAGTACAGCAAATAAATATTTTTTTTGAGAGAATGAAACCAGTTGAGAGATTTCTAACCACTGGATAACTGAGAAAACACCCACATTAAACAGGCAGAAAAGGCCAAGGCACACTCAAGCACGGAGCACAGCTAGGACTACACCATTAAACTGAGAAAGAAATCTGAATACAGGCATTTGCCACAGATCCTCTCCCTAGCTTAGCACAGAGTAAGAGGTAAATACCCACACTAAGCCTCACTGTGAAGATAGAAGAAACTGAAATGCATACTCAAATCAAAAACTTTCCTACACCACCTAAAGATTCTGCAACTACACTGCTTTCAGAGTACTGACAAGATACAGCATGTACTCAGTTCCAAGGTACCACTGCAAGTCAGAGACAGCAGTCTGACAGACACAAAAAGTGAGAGATATCTTAAAATCTGTGGCCAAGAAAATGGTAAAAACTTCTCCTATGCAAGGCCAACCCAACAAGATGGAAAAAAGTACTTGCTATATACAATGCATAAAACCCTACACAGAAATCAAGGAAATGTAGTTTTTTAAAAAAGGACCAACATCTCCAGAAACATACTTAAATAAAGTTGTGATTTACCCAACAGAGAATTAAAAATAATGCACATAAAAATGTTAATGAAGCTGCAGTGAGCAATGCAAGACAAAACTAAGAACTTCAACTAAAAGTATAAAGAAGTAGCAAACAAAAAGCATAAACCTGAAGAAGCACTGAGCTGAAAAATTAAATACACAATGGTTCAATAAGAAACCAGACAGAACAGAAGGAATGATCAGTGAACTTGAAGATAAATGAATGGAAATAATCTGGGAACTCTAAAAAAGGTGAAGATAATTTAAGAGGCATAACAGACACTATTAAGCAGAACAACTTACATACTGTTGACATTCCAGAAGGAACAAGAATAGGGGAAAGAACAGAAAATACATTCAAAGAAATATCAGTAGAACATTTCCCAAGCCTGGGAAGGAAACAAAGCCAAATCCATGCATCTGACAGGACACCAATAAGATAAACCCTGAATGATGCTTATCATAAAATATCACAAATTGCCAAAAGTTAAAGACAAAGGTTTATTAAAAGCAATAGGAACTCTCCAATGAACTTTCATAACAGGAATAACAGGATCTCTCTCTAAATAAACTCGCACAATACTATCAGTGGAATTCTTATCAGAAATGTTGAGACCTAGAAGAGAATGGGATGATGTACTTAAAATCCGTAACCACACAAAAAAGTCTGCTAACCAAAAATACTAGTTAACAATCCCGTCTTTCAAGAGGACTCAAATCAATAAAGCAGAGATGAAAAAGGAGTCACTGTAACTAATACCATAGAAGTACAAAAAGTAATTACAGACAATCATAAATAATTATATGTCAGTAAACTAGGCAATCCAGAGAGCTAATAAATTCCTGGATGCATATAACCTACCAAGACTGAAACATCAAAAGGAGTTTTTGGGCCAGAACCCAACCGCCCAGGCGCCTGGGAGGCAGGCTGCCAGCATCTTGGAAGCCCCACGGTGGGGAGCTCCAGCCTTTGGGCCAGACCCCAGCTGCGCAGGCGCCCAGGTGGCGGGCCGCCGCCACTCTGGAAGCCAAGCAGTGGAGAGCTCTGGCCTTTGGGCCGGATCGCAGCCATGCAGCTGCCCGGAAGCTGGGCCGCCAGCGTTCGGGAAGCCGCGTGGCGGGGAGCTCCGGCCTTTCAGCGGGACCCCAGCCGCACAAGCACCCGGGAGGCGGCTGCATGTGTTCAGGAAGCTATGTCGCGGCACATGCTGCCAGACCCCAACCCAACCACTGCCACGCAGTCCAGAACTATCATGGCCCAGAGAAACAATGACACAATTGGCCCGCCATGCGCCAGCCACGGAGGCCCGCCTGGGGATGTGCATGAATCATCCCAACATGAAGAAAGCCCTGGGAATACATGTCACACAATGGGTTGCTCTTGCCCCTGCTGCTGAGAACCAGAAAGGTCCGGAGTCAGCCGAAGAGGAGCTGTTAAACAAGGACTTGGAGAACACGAGGATACAGACTATGCCTGAAGACTCAGAGGTCTAGTAGACCAGGGTCACCACAGCCATTTGGAAACTAGAAAGCAGGAGGACCTTGTGTAATACCTGGGGAGACCCCATGGAACCATTCTTTCCCTGACAGTACAGGCTGAGGTGGAGGAACACGTGGAGCTCTGGAGAGGTCTGCACTGAGATTCCTGCTGCCTGTGCTCACAGTTAGGAAGAGGACACTAAGTGGTTGTGGGGTCCCAATGCACTGAGTGGCTGGACAGAAAAAGCTACAAAAAATGGCTTTCGCCCCAGATGGCTCACTTGAGATGTTAGTAAGGATTGCCTCCTCAGTATTCTATAGCCATGATGAGGAGGAGGCCAAGGAGAGAAAACAAAGAGACCAAGAAAAAGCAGCTGCTTTTGCTGCAGCACTAAGAGAAACAGACCCTAAGTCTGATTCTCGGGGCCCCAAGAAGAACTCGATGACTGCATTCATCTGCTACCACTCTTAAAAGCCAGGCTACCTCAAGAGGAACTGCCCTAAGAAGCCCCCTGGGCCATACCCTGAATGCAAAGGTGACCACTGCAGAGTGGTCTGCCCTCTGAAGTGGAGGCCCCAGAGCTCAGACCCATCCTACCAGTCAGTCTAACCAGAATGAGGGAGCCTGGGGCATACTCTACATTCTCCCTCTGGCCAGAATATCATCTCCATGGAGGAGCCCCAGCTAATCATGACTATAGAGGAAAAAGAAAACAGCCTGTTGCTAGACACAGGTACCAGTCTCTCGCTCCTTCTTTTCAATCCTGGCCTTCCTTCCAGCCATCATACCTCAGTGAAAGGAGTCACTGGTGAGGAGGTAATACGCTATTTTTCACAACCCTTAGGCTGTAACTACTTGTTAGATCTTTCTTGCATATCTCTGTCTTCCTGAGAAACCACTTTGAAGATACCACCATGTATTACAGCAGCCACTGATATTTCCCTACTAATCTGTCCATAACTCTGTAATGTTTGTATTGTTCCTATGCTATTTTGTAAATGGATGTATGTTTATTACTATGTGTTTCCTACAACAACCATTGAGAATCGTTAATGAATATTCAATTGGTCACTCATGTATAGCTCTATTTATTTTCTTTAGAAGGCACTTTGAAGATACCAAAGTATAGTACAACGACCATTGATAATAAGCTACCACTTTTGTCTGTAGCTCACTATTATTTATCTATTTGTTTTCCTGAGAAACTATCTTGTAGGTAACAATATGTAAAACAACAACCATTGATAATTTCCTACCACTTTGTTGTAATTCAGTAAGCTCCCCTATTACTGTTATCCTTCTTCTACTCTTTAAAATAAAAATAAAAATATACATAAATAAATACAAGAAACATCAAAAAGAGAAAAACCTAAACAGACAATAACAAGTCAAAAGATTAAATCAGTAATAAAATTATATCCAAAAGCAAATTGGAGAGGAAGGCCATCACCTGTGATGCCAGGGACACAGCAAACAGGCTGCTGCCTGTGGTATGACAGGTGAACTTCAAGCCTGCTCTACATTTTGCTTCCCCTTGCCGCAGGGCAGCAGAGGTGTAGACTAACTGA